AGACTTCTGATTGGTCAACATTTCTACACGGTTAGGAATATATCGCCACCTGTTGCTTTGGCATGTTCCTAGCAGCGTTTTCCTTCATTTCTGCGTTTACGTGTGGACGGGATTATTTTTTAAAACAAAAACGGAAAATCTCCGTTTTCAAAAATACCCGTGTACGTGTGGACGTAGCCAAATACACATGTGCCGGTTCCATATGAGCAAGACAAGCAGTAACCACAACATTCAAGAGTTAGAAAACCTGCAGATCCTGAGGTGGCCATCTGGCACTGGCTCCAAAAGCAACTCAATTTCAATATACTTCAAAGTTAAAAAGGTCAACTACAGCCTGGTACAGAAAAATGGCTTTGGCCTCTATGGATAGTTTCCCCTTTCACAGCTGTACAGTGGGTGAAGTCATGTTATAACTCGTTCATTTAGATACTGCCTAGGCTTACATTTAGGGAGCTGCTTGGGTTAGCAGGTATGCTAACATAGGCAGCAGACATAGCTGTCTGCGATGTATTACCCATACCCGAAGTGTCTCCCGCTGTGTGGTAGAGGCCATCCAGTTTTATTTGTCTGCTACTTCGCACTGATTACCAATCATGTGTGTCTATTGCACCCATACACTTAGCAGCCTGCTAACCAAGTTTGCAAGCATTAGGTGATAATGTAGTGATCAACTCTCTCAGGATTAGGGCCACCGAAAAAAAAAAAGTAGGCACGTCTTTTCTTTTTCTTTTCCAGAATTCTGAGAAAACAGAATTTATTTAAAGCGACAACTTTTCAACAACTATAAACTGCTTATAAGGTGATGTTACACCCCGGCCTAGGCAACCGGGGTGCAACGTAGAAAAACAAGGATAAGGAAAAAAAAACCACGACGAAAAACACTAAGGCTCTCCACCAAAATCCCAAAACGAAAGTAGTGACAAAACCCATTCACAGCTATTTACAACAGACGATTTATTTACAACAAACACCAAACTATTTACAACACGGGGGGAAGATCGCGACCATGACCAACTGACACACAGGGCTTAAATACATAGAAGGAGCAATCAGGGAATGGACCACAGGAGGGAAACACAGCTGGGGCAAATTAGACCTGACGAGACAAGGAAACGTAAACGGAACACACTAAGATGACACAGACTTTCAAAGTAAAGCAGGAAATACATGACAGTCACGGAAAAACAAAACACTGACAACACCGAAACGTAACAGGTGAATACAATTAAGTAAGTTCACACATTGTTTTTAAAATGTCTCTTTACCAAATCTTTCCCCCCTTTTCAGATTATGAAATTATGGACACCTACGGTCAGTTAAAAGATTGTGGTGTAATAAAGGTCTACCCCCAAACAGAACAACTGCTTTGATATTTGATGTTAAAAAAATATCAAAGAACATCAGTTTTGATGTTTTTATAAGAGACACGCTGTTACGTGCGTGTGTTGGTGGGTTATTTGTTTCTTAATGTGTGTATGCAAATTCACCTGTGCAGGGGCTCGGCTGTGATTGGTGGACCTAAGGAACGGCCTGATGTAACTGGTTCCTGCTGTGGACGTGAACTATAAAAGGGCGACTGAAGAGCTGCGGTGCGGGGGGTGTGGCAGACTTCCTGTGCACTTGCCTCAGGTGCAGACGGAGCAGTCGTAGCAATAGCTATTTGGTTAAAACGTTGGCCATGTGTGTGAAGTGCGGAGCAAGTAGGGGTGAGCTGCCGATTATTTTGGGAAGCCTTCTTTTCTCCTGTGTTTTTAGACCAGGGAGGTCAGACTGTGTTATTTCTTTCTTTTCTTTTCCTTAAACAGGTCAGAGGGGAACCGAAGCCTAGGTTGAGCTTTGTTTGTTGTGTTGGCCTTAGCTCACCCCGAAATTATACACTCCCACTACCGTGAGTGCCATTGTTGTCAATAAACTATTGTTAAAAGTCCGATGCTGTGGCTGTGTCTGTGTCTGTTTGGGCGTGGGAAGTCACGGGACACCCCGCTCTTGTTACGGTCATTTCGAGCCGGGTCGTAACACACGCTTTAGCTTAATATAAACCTAAAGGCAGAAATGCACATTTCCTGTTACTGATCACTGAGCAGGCAGCAGAGATCCTGAAGGCAAACAGAGTAAAAGAACAACTCAGATATGTTTTCTGTAATTAAGTGTGGTAATAAAATAATGTCTCAAAGAATGGTGAGTCAATGAGTGTAAGAAATTGCACTAATGCACCTCCATCAAACACGCATGCACTCAGCACAGTCTCTTGATGGTCATCATATTATGCTAGGCTTGTCTTCCTCCTGCCTATTATGTGTTTTCCCACCAGCTTGTTTAACTACTGCTGCCATTACAAGAGGTCTAGGCATTAGCATTCACAGCAAAGATGGCCACCAAGGAGCCAACCAGCAAAGAGGGAAACGTTGTGTTGTGTTGCTGCACTGTCATACTCTGCACAGCATAGTTAGTGGTGGTAGACACTTGTTAGCATAGTAAGGAAGTAGATGCGTCCTGAATAATGAAGCAGAAACGGAACAAACAGCAGTTAATCTGGTGGCCAGTTGAATTTAAGGTGTTTGATGCTTGCAGTGGCAGCAACCTCAAAAGCAAATACACCAGACGCCAGAAGGGAACTGTCCAGCTGAAGTACGCATCCTACTGAGCTAGGAGTCCGATGACATCTAGCAGGTCAAGTGGAGTGAAGAAAGCAAAAGTTTGAGAAATTTGACTTTCAGTCAGCTTCTGGGTGATTCTGGAAAACCATCAGATGACAGAGGACAGAGAAGCAGTTTCCTGCCCACCTTGATGCAGAGGGATGTCTGGGATGGAAGGAAAGGCTTCTCCATCATACAGAAACAATGGACACATTTCCAGGACCATCAATTATGCTGCATTACCTGGAAGCTGGGAGTCATGGTCTTGAACTGGCAAACATTTAAGCAGGGTGCTCCAAAGACTGTTTACCAACTTTAAGAGAATCACACTCCTCGGCCTTCCTTGGACACTCTAGTGTACTGAAGAGGAAAGGCCATACATTGGTCTAACCTTGGATTCAGGAGAAACCCTCTGGTGTTTGTCCTTGTTGTAGAACACTGGACCAGCTCTTTATTGTTTTGGAGCTATTTAAGGGTGCATGGTTTGCCAAACCAGTGTACATTTTTTGTGGACTTGGAGAAGGCATTCAACAATCCCTATGTATACCACTGGATGCATGTTACATACTTATCCAAACCCTAACCTTTGGGAGTATGGGGTATCTGGCCTGTTTTTAGCAGGCTATTGTATCTCTGTATATTACTAGCAAGAACTTGGTTCACAATACCAGCAATAAGTTGGGCTTGTTCCCAGTCGGTGTTGGACTCCACCAACCCTCCCGTTCTGTTCACAGTTTTTATGGGGAAAATTTCTCGGTGCCTCCTAAGTGAGGTGTTTCAGGTATACCCAACTGTGACGATGCTCTCTCTTGGCTTTTCTATTGGCTGGCTTGGGAACCTTCCTGTGTCCTCCCAGAAAAGCTGGTCTGGAAACTCTGCTTAGGTTGCTGCTTCCATACCCTGGACTCAGATAAGCAGCAGAAACTGGATGGATGGTGAATCCTTAAAAATAGCTCTGCAGTGAGCTGCCATTAACTGCCACTAGGCTGCACTCTATGTGATGTAGATTACATCTCATCAAGTGTAGAGATTAACACACAGTGACAAGTGAAGGATATTTTAAGTTGACATCACACGCTATATTAAAACAGGACATGCCAGTGTACTGTGACGGATCATTAAAACAAGTGTTTTTCATGCTGCCTCTATTGCCACTGCACAGGCTCAGTTCATTAGAACAGACGACTCAGGAGTTGTGCCACAAAGGAACTGAAATCAAAAGGATTTAAGAAACACCTCACTCTGCTCTCTTGGAATAATCCCATACTAAACATGTAGCTGCTGTCAGCAGCAGAAACACATATTACTTATGTAAATCCTTAGTGTCAAAAAAGGTACGAGCTGTTACATAACAAATGTAGCCTGAACTATCACCTCACTGCATGATGGAACCTCCCAACATCCCACCAACACATGGCCTCATTCACTCCATCATCGCTCACTCTACCTGCTTGTTTGTGTTAGCACTGCCCTCCTACAAACAGGAACCTGTGAGTCTGTACAGACGCTTCCACAGGAGTAATATCGGCAGCTTCACCATTACAGTTTCACAATATGTCAGCTTCAGTCACAATCATGAGTAAACCAGGTTGGATATTGAACTACTTAATTGTGGATTTGGTTAAAGGTTGCTATTTAACTGTCAGCTTTGGATAAGGTTTCATCTGATATGTGCACTAAGTGACGGTGACAAATTATGTCAATGTCGTCTGTATATTAAAGTGTTTCACATAAAAATATAAACACAGTTCTACAATCTGACAGCACATTGAAATGTTTCTATGAAACTCTGAAGAAAAATAGGAAAGGGCATTACAAAACACAAGTTTTGACTTAACTATCAAAAACACATTTTAGTTTCTGTCAGTGATTGGAGGGATAATCTTAACGCCGGTCCAGATTTCCTTGTCCCACTCACCTGACGCTCAGCTGGATTTAATCAGCGCCTTCTTCAGCTGAATCTGGTAAGCTGACAGGTGTCACCTGTGGCCTGCTGACTGTGCTGGCAAACTGGTAGCCTGTAAGCTGTCTACTAAAGGGGCAAAGGCTCCACATTTCCTACCATCTGAAATCTAAAAATTCTTCAATGATGAGGAAAAGGAAAAAACAACAACATACTTTTTCTTTTCCTAACTGAATCGCGTCACAGTCCCACAGATTTTTCTTCCCATCAACCAAGATGTTCCAACCCCAGTCAGTAGTAACCACCACACTAGACTCTTTGTTTCAAAGTTAAACAGCTGCCTGTTTCCAGTTATCTGCTCACGGTGGATCAGAATATCATTTCTTTATATGTAAGGAACACACTGCTGGCTTTAAGAAACAACAAGGTCATTGTGAGCAGCATAATCCTTCATACTGTACCTTGACGTTGTCTGGATGCAGTCCTCCAGGGTGTTTGTCCATATACTGACACAGGTCTGTGTGCTGGGTGAGGACAAAGGCAAGAACATCCCAGTGTTAGTGTGAAGGTTTTAAAGGTAAGTAAGAAAGCAAGCAATTTATTTATATAGCACGTAAGATTCCTTAAAGATCATCTAAAGTGGTCACCACCAAGTACACCATAGCATATGCAAATGCTTTGGAGCAAAAACAGCTCTAGAAATTGGGACCAACTTGATGCTACTGTGATTTTATTGTACAAAGCAGTATAAAGGAATGTTAAATGCTAGAAGTTAGGTAGTCTAACACAATATATGGGCATCTTGGATATCACGTAATCATCATATTTTTTCCTTACAGTCATTTTTTGGGTTATTTGATAGAAAAAAGGAAACTGAACTCTTAAATATATATTGATTCATGTAACTCCAAAAAATGGATGCACTGTCAAAAACTTTTGGAGTAATCCATTAAGAATACATGGGAGCAGGCGCCGTTTCATGGGCGCCACCATGTTGACCCACCATCTTGAATACAGTCATTGAGAAAGACATCAATCAATCACAGTGTAAAATGTACATACATAAAACGATGAATTGATCGAAGCCTTTACTTGTCACTTGCAGTTGACCTGCAGCGAAATTGGACATAGGGAGGGGCAGCCATGCATGTGGCTAGAGACCAGCCACTGTCACTGAATGCCATATTATACTCGTTTACAGCTCAACCATTTTATTTTCAGAGTCAAAATTTCAGAGGCACAACTGTGAATATCTACAGAAATATTTCAAACATGCTGGAGGCTCCGTTATGGTTTGGGTGCATTTTAACCAGTGGGGCTACTGGTTGAAATGTCAAAATTCTTGTCAAAATGGATGGAATTTTGAACGCAGTAAAGTGCTGTCAAATTAATCCAACATCCAGTAATATCAATAAATATTATGATTGTCAAATGCTTCATTTTTCAGCATGGCAATAATCCCAAACACACAGCAGGGAAGTAATAACAGACCTGGATAGAAAAACCTACCGTGGAACACTATGAGTCATGGACTGGAATCACATCCAAATTAATAAAGTAGAAGAACATCCACAGAAGAACTTCAAGAAGCCTGGAAAACTATTCCTGAAGACCACTTAAAAAAATTACAGGAGAGCTTGTCTAAGAGAGTCCAGGAATGTTGACGTATGAAGGTCATCACATTACATAGAATTGTAATGAGCTATATTTCCATGTACATGTCTTTGTCCTGTCTCGCTCCCCTTACCCCGACTAGTCACGGCACATGGCCGCCCCTCCCTAAACCCGGTTCTGCTGGAGGTTTCTTCCTGTTAAAAGGAAGCTTTTCCTTCCCACTTTTGCCAAAGTGCTTGCTCATAGGTGGTTGTCTAATTGTTGGGGTTGTTCAATATTGTCTTCAGGTTCCTGTTGTTGCAATTTAACGCTTTATAAATGAAGTAAAATTGAAACTGAATGAATATATGTTTGCATGTTTGACTAGAAAAATATGAAGAAACAATGGGTGGCTCTAAAACAGGACTCTGTGTTTGGGTCTAAGTTATGTACATTTTTGCTATCTGCCATTTTTTTGTGTGCCTGTAAATTCTGATTGGTCCAATCAAGTTCATAGCAGATGCTGTTCTTGGTCCACACACTACTTTAGCGTACGTCCCCAGGAAGAAGAAATGTGGCCCATTTTATGCCAGAGTTTATCGTATGAGCTGAATTGATATTCTTATCAGAAAATCAGACATGCACCCAGCCTTGGTCTGCCCTTCACCTCTGTGCTTTCAGAACAGATTTGTGGATGGAGGCAGTGACTATGAAACCACACTAATATTTACAGTCCCCTACTGCTGGCCACACCACAGAACCTCCTCTGCTGAATAATTCACAAAGACGCCTCAGCACACACACACAGCATATTTGTCATTGCTTTTCATGTCAGTTGTCTGTCCTCTCTCTCTGTGCATTTCCCCTGCATCCTGTCATTCACCATTAGCTTTGAGGGGAGAACAACGAATGGATTTTTGGGGAAGCTCAAGCTATTAGAGCACTGAACACAAGATGATATATCAACATCAACACAATTTAGCATCCCAGTCAAATAAATAACCACTGGCTACAGGGAAACCAGGGTAACCCCTCCCTGTTAAAGGACTGTGTGGCATCATGATTGAAAGATGTCCTGTATTAGTGAAAAGTGTGCATAACCACTTAGGATGAGACGTCCCTGTTTCACCTTTAAAGGCAAACTGAACTTTTTTCTCATTCTTCATTTAAACACAACCCGCTGGGCTCCATCCTCGATTCAGAAGCCAAACCTTTTGACATGTGTCAAATCTACCAACAGGGGGCATTCCACCATCCCCAGTCTAATAAATGTAGTAGAGAAGGAAAGCTGAGTAAGCTGGTTGAGCGATCTGGCCTCACGCAGCATGAATATAAATGAGCCCATCAGAAGCTGCTGTCAGTTGGTGCACAGTAAAGGGTAAGACAAGATGAGACTGTTCTGAACAACCTGGGTTCAGATCTGTCCAAAACTGCGTTGAAAACTTTTTATCCTTGTAGTACACTCCTACTCTATTCCCTCTGTAGACACTGGAGTCTTTCCTTATTAATTAGAAAACTGTCCTAATCAAGTTATTTTGGCCCTTGCTGAACAACATTTGAATACTATTCTTTGAACTTGTTTGGACAGGCAGCAGAAGTCCAGTCGGTTCAGTTGGATGAAACAATACTGTCAGTGGAATAATCCTGTAACTGTGACAGATGTGGTCACCAATCCTTACAAGTATGTAGCTAGTTTCAGTTTAACATACTTATAAGGAGGTTGTCATGTCTGCTTCTTTTACTTCTCCTGGCAGTGTGGTTGCTTCTCAACTAAACACTAAACGGTTGGTGTAGGTGATGTAATTGAGGTCAGCCGGAATTCTGGCAGATAAGCTTTTCTCAAAACAATCTTGCATCAGCTGATGGCTGACACGCGTTTGGACGTTTGCCTCTCTCATATATGAAAATGTCTGCAATATGTTGTCAATGAAGTCTTGTGACACTATCAGTGACACTGACCCCGTCACAACTAAAGTCTCTTTGCTGCGACGGGGTCTTGATGTCGCTAGAACGAAGCCATGCCAATAAGTACAAGAAAAATATCAGTTTTTTGTTGACTACAGTTATCCATATTTGGAAAAATGATCACTGACATATATTTTACCTCCTAAGTATCCAGTCCACTAGAAGTACCAGTATTACTCAGCATGAGATTGTGGCTGGAACCCAGTGTGAATTTTGTGGACCAATAATTTTTGCCAATGTTTTTGTCAACATGTTTTTTTTATGATGAAAACAAGGCAAAAACTAAAAAACCCTAAAAAATAAAAAAAACCTAACCCTGAAGCACAAGGACAAAAACTTGGATAAAATGAAATAAAACTTTCATCAACAAATTAAAATGAGATGAAAAATAGGAGACGAGATCTTATCAGAACAAATTAAATTCTTTAAAAGGTTTTTATAAATAGGGAAAAATAGGGTAATCTCCTGGTGCAGTAAAGTTAGATGCACACATTTGTTCTGCCCTGTCTACACTGTTACTCATGGTTTTGGCAAAACAGGTTTGTCCCACCAGTATCTGATGTTGGCTCGACAAGACATCACTCTGTCACGATTTGTCTTTCACTCTCCAAACAAACAAAAATATCTTAAGTAGATTGCCCTCACGACCCTGGAAATGCTCCAGCTCAGATATTATTTCACCTGCCCATTTAAAGATAAAGACCACAAACGACTGTCACACCAGCAAATATTTGTCTTGGCATGTGCCATCATTAATAGATACTTAATGCTGTTGCTTTTTTTGTGGGTAAGTCAGTTTGTTTCGGCTAATCTAATGATCATCATTTGGTAAACTGTGCTGTTCCAGAGGTTTCTGGTGAGTAACCTTCCTTTACTTGGCTTTAACAGTGTTGCCGAGTCAGAGCATTTCCACTGGCCATAAATGCATCAACAGAATATTATTTCTGTTATTTGTGCCCGCAGTATTTGACAGGACAGTTGTGGAAACATGCTAAAACCATGACCTTCCAATAAAATGCCCGCTTGGCTTCCTGTTGCAGGCACAGACAGACCAGGCTGTGGTGGACCTGGCTGCCATCCTATGGAGCAAAGAACGGAAAAAGCCCTAGCTGCTTTAACATTCCTCAAGTGCCCTAAAACTAAGAGTATGCCAATCAAAATATCTACAGCTCATGTTTCTAGCGGGAGAGTATTAAAAACTGAAACTCAATCAGCAAGGATGTACTGGGATCAAATCAATCAAACTAAAGAAACACATAAGTGCTGACCTCTGTTCTTTGAAAATGTTTTCTTTTGAATGCTAAAAACAGATTCTTGATCTAATTTTAAACCTCCACAGCCCCCCCGTAAAGAGCCCAAATGGGTGATCTCAGTGTGCAGACTCACCACATATTCAAAAACCAGAGTTAGGGTTTCCTTGGTGTGGATGATGTCATGAAGGAGGACAATGTTAGCATGCTTCAGGCCTTTCAGAAGAGATGCTGCAGAAACAAAACCGAACAGAAAGAGGCAGAGAGTTGATACCAGGGAACTGTGTTATGCTTTCATTAGCTGCATTATTAGAATTTCTCATCACATACAGGGGATCAGGAAAAGATTAAAACACAAAGAGAAAACACGGGGTGGATTTACTACTCAAAGTTCTCACACTCATTTGTCAACATGTTCATGACGTAAGATTTATTGTTAATTAGGAGGGAGATATGCTGGGAAGATGATCAAATCGTTACAGCGGCGAAGCTTAAAGAGTCTTACTTGGGAGGCTGGGTATGATGAGCACATTTACATTACTTGATCGAAGTCACAGCTTGAATAGAGCACGGTGAGCATTGTGCAAATAATACACGACACATTTTCAGTTTTTGGTGGGGACATTTTATAGCTTTGACATCACAGTCAAGTTAATTTAGTAACAAAAAGAACAAGTTTACTTTTTAACATTTAATACGAGATATTCTGATTTCAGATTGAACTACCTTACAAAAAATCTCAGACACAGCAAACGACTTCTACGAGCTTCTAATTTACTTTTTTCCACCAATGCTGGTTTTCAATCTAAAAGCAGTTCCATCAAATTAGAGCTTTTGCATAAAAGCTGGCATTAGATTATCACCACAAAACTGCTTGGCCTGTAGCCACTGGAAGCACTAAGTAATGAAAGGGGCTAATACAAGAAATTCAACCCAACTGGAACAAGTGACAAATTTTCTCCGCATGCAAATTACCCCAACTTTTGTCAGTATAGGACTAGTTCTAAAAGGAAAAAAATGCTAACTACACATTAAAGAGATAATATTCTACCTTAAATCAGTGCGCTATATCACTCTAGGAATGTTAGCTTCTAAGCTAGCCAGAGCTAGCTAAAACTAATGCTACGTTTAAGCTGTTCTTAATTTTTTTTTTTAATTTTACTTATCACCTTGAAATGCACAACAAATTCTGAGGAGCTCACATTTTGGTCATTTAGTATTCCCTTCCATATAAATAAGGGGGAAAGCTCATGTTGTCAGTTTATGTTAAATTGGAAAAAATAACAGCGTGCTTCCTGCTAAAGCTAGCTAGGTAGGTCAGCAGAGTTGATGACTGTATGCTGTCCTTTATATACTCTTTAAGTTAAAATATCATTGTATTTTAGTTGAATTTAAAGTATTTCATTTTTATTATATACCATAAATGGAATTTTCAGACAAACTGATTCATTTAGCAGACAAAAAGTTCTGTTCCAAGGACACAGGGGACAGACAGAACCTCTGAGAGGCAGTAAGTGATAAGGTCTCATCAATATATTCATTCTGTATGAGTACCTGAAGGTAAAAAACACAAAATCACATAAGCAGATCAAAGGCAAGGCTCCTCTCAGCAGGAAGTTAAAGCTATAGTCTGATACCTCAAAGATCCTGTCACCAGTTTGAAGATCCAACCCCCTCTCTCCCTGCTCACACACACATCGGTGGTAATGGCTCGAGTGTGTCGACTTTTGCACGAACACACACTCACAGCTGTCTTATACTCTGTGTGCATTACTTTATTCAGCAGCAGTCTGTAATGCCGCTCACATATCTGTGCTCTAAGCTCACTGCTCAGTAATTGCTGAATTAGTTCAATTTCAAATTACCTTTCTGATCTTCTCATAGGGAGAGTTTTAACTGTGTCTGTGAGGAGTCTAGCTCTTACTTTATCAGACCTGGATCATAAGCAGATCAAACAGACAGCATCACGTTCTCATCTAAATTTAAATACCAGTTCCTCCCGTGGAGGTGACTGTATCTTCTTTCAGTGGAGTCTGTAAAACGAAGTGACAGGACAAACCAAGCCAAGCAAGGACGAGCTCTGAACTTCTATACATACAGGACAAAGTTTATCATTTTAAACCCTACAAGCTGTAAGTTAAGCACTTCATATTGTAACAAGACAATTCACATGATATACCTGTTAGCTAATAGCGAACTTTGAGTTTTTCCAATGTCTTGGTTCAGCTAAGAACCGACATCCCATCTCCAGTCCTGTTCAAGCAGAGCTCACTCCCCCAAGCACCAGAGATCCACCAAACACATGATCCTTACACTGAAATACGTTTTAGGAGTGAATGCTGAAAAGTACAAATTAGCCTTGATCCACTGAACAGATTTCTTCTTATTAGAGGACTAAGAGATGTCCAAATGGTAGTAGCATTTTTTTTGCTCCCACCAGACTGGATCAGTAACCAAATCAGCTGTCTGCATGTCTTTGTTCACCACGCCCATGAATCTCCTCTGTAGTCTCCATCTTTGGTTCTTTTTTGGTAGGTCCATCTTTAACCTCCATTGCCCAGCATATCCACTCTCTCTCCTCTGTAAATGTCCAAACCATCTTAGCCTTCACCTGTCTTGTGCACTGTCCATTGCTTCAGATGGGTGACCACACACCGGTCTCGCTCTCTCATTCAAATGTTTTGCTTCTACTGACTTTTATTATTCTTCTCTCCAGACAATGCCGCCACTTCTCCAGGCCCTCTTCCATATGCTCCCTGTCCATTGCTTTGGATGACTGTCCCCAGGTATTTAAACTCATCTGCTTTCTTTAGTTCCACACAGACAGTTTAAAGGGTTTCTGATCAGGTAGGGAAAGTTAACATTGACTGGAGTTTTAAACTCCCTATTTCATGATATTTACAGTTTATGACTGTTGAGGTATAGGAGGACACGGCCTTGCCCTTACCACTTGCAGTTCTGGGCTGAACTGAGATATTGAGCTGTTTTCGTAGTGATATTAAAGTAGCTTATGTAAGACAGAAAGTGAAACTATTAATATAGAAAGAAAAATATGGTATCTGTGCCTCTATGCACGTAAACGTCTTACCTTCCCTTATGGCTGTGAAGGGTGTTCCTTCTTCTTCTTGTAGTCGAATCACCTTCAAAGCCACTAGTTTTCCATTCACCCTGGCAGCAACATGAAGCACACACAATGTATACTAAACTGATCGAGTTTCTTTTTTTGCGACAATAAAGGAAAACTCTTAAAATGAGTGAAGCCAGAGAACAGCGAGGATATTTAAGCCAGAGAAATGTAATTTGGCGGCAGTGGAGTGAGACGCGGGTACAAGGCGAAGGGATTACAACTGAATGAAGCTCACCAATCAAAGCTGTTGTAGTTTAAGAGTGACGCCAAATAACATCATTACTGAGAAGATTAGAGTCTTTGGAGTTTTGTACATTTTCAAGAATTTAATTAGCAAAACTTGCAAGCAAAGCGGCAAACCATGAAATGTGAACGAAGACTATTGAATCATGGCATAAATACATTCATCCTATAGTGATTAAAATAAAGGAAATTACATTGCATTTGTGAGGTGCACAGCTTTGCAGACAAGAAATATTATTTACATAAAACCTATTGAATTATTTCATTCCCACACAGCAATGCTCTCGTATAATTAAATGTAATATTCGCTGCATCCATGAGTGATTTCTAGCAACTATAAAGAAGAGTAACTGGATTAGACAGTGATTCCACGCTACTTACTTGCTCTTTCCTTTGTAAACTGTAGCATATGAACCCTCTCCCAGTTTCTCCAGCTTTTCATAGGAATCTGCCTTTCCAAATTTGGGGCTGGTGGGCTGCGGGAAGAAAAAGAAAGAGATATGAAAAGGCAAAATGAGAGGGTGAGTTCAGTAACCCAGAAAAGCGGCGCCTCGTAGGATTTCACAGAACACATTTACAAGTGTCTGAGAGATATTAAAATCTGGAGGCTCCCTGCTGTATCATCGAGGAGGTGTAATGTCGGTTGGGAGGGGGAGAGAGAATTTTTTTACCAAGTCTCTTCTTGTAAGAGCTCCTTTTCATTTAATTGTCAGCTGATAACTTTTAGACACTTTTCACCATCTCAGCACTTCACAGAGAAAGAAATAACTGTGGCTCGAAGAGAAGAAGGCACAGAAGTGAGCATATTCATAGCTAACTGCTAGGAAAGGGGAAACAAGTCAGCTCTGAAACTTCAACTCACTGGATGCTGTCGTAACATCTGTTGTTGTCAGTGATGAGGAAAAGTGCTTTGATAACTAAATGTAACTCTGACGAAAGCATACGTGCCAATCAAGTATGTGGATCACCTCCCTCTCGCTCAGTCACCCAAGAGGAGGAGTAGGATGGCGACCTCCTTGTGACTAAGAAAAATCCAATTATTTTCACATTTTCACAAATAGTTGTGGTAAGGTTAGGCATGCGAGACCCTCAACCTCTTGGTAACCACTTTCGATTGCAAGGCGATTGCGTCTAAGACAGGCTGGTGAGGATTTGTGAATAACTGTCTGATTTCTAAATGCAGACAGACTGCCACCGCATTGCATACAGTCTTAGTCAGCTCGCACCAGTGAGCACAACTATCTCTGCAATAGGCAGCATGATTCACCTGGTTGCCAGCTGCTTGTACTCTGATAACATACCTATATTAAAAGAAAGGTTGCCAAATGTCATTTTACAACCACAACAACTATTTTGTAGATCTGTGAAAAAATTTCTCATTTTCTGTTTCAAATCTATGAGCTTTGCTGAGTTATCACAGTCGTTGCATAACATTGCAATTGCCAACTTGTCCCCATTGCCACTTTATCAACATTTAACACACAAAGCAACTGACCGCAAGTTGACACAAACATGTTTCCGGTCTTCGAAGCAACCGTTTCAGTGAGACCACAAGTTCATTGCACGCGGTCGAAATAATGTTGACTGTCCAGCCTCTGTTTTTTCTAACAGTTGGAGACCTTTCACATTCTTTGTCTATGGTCTGAACAAAACTGCAGAAATCAAAACTTTAGGTTTCAGGTCAATCCTGAAACAGCAGTTAGCGATAACAGGTATCAAGAGACTGGTTATTAACTTGCTTTGTTCATCGAGGCTTTTTGCCTCAAGCCGTGGGGCACTGTCATATGGTTGTATCCGTCGTTATGTAATTGTTTTCTGCCAATTAAAACTTGGGGATCCGGGCACTGACTAACAGTGTGCCGATGTAGCTGAGGTTACATCTGTCAGATGAATCCCAAGCCATGAGTGCCTGGAAGATGATTTAGCACTGGAGGCTATTCAGGTAGCATTCTTTAAGGTCCTGAAGCACAAACATACTTAATGTTCTAGTCTTCAAATCCCTTTAAGCGTTGCTTTAAGAAAATGTTCTTTCAGAAGAAAACTGTCCTTTTTTCTATAATTTTAACACATGAACACAACAGGGACTGAAAACCTGCTTAGAGTCAGTAAAGCATCAGAAGCTTTTATGGCCCTGAAAGCACAATGCAACCATCTTCCCTTGTAATGCATCTTTAACCAAATCCCATGCTTTCAGGAAATCCCTAAATGATGGTGCAGTGTTTGCTACATCTGCACTGTCTTCATTGCTTTCCAGCCACCCTCCTGTTAGCTCACTATCCTTGCAGCAGTAATAAGCTCAGCATTTCTGAGGGCTTCTCTAAACAAATCAGACTTCCCCCTGGGATCAAGGAAGAAGTGAAGCTCTATCTGTGAAACAATTGAGTTGGACAGTAAGGTGGCCTGAAGAACCTCTCCCAGCAAGGCTCATGACTACAGAACTAGTCTTTTTTTCTACTAGTGTTCTGCATGAACCACTTTCACTTTACATTTGCCTTACTGCATCCTCTTTTAGGAATAACTGGTGAGGGGAGTTCATTCATTCACCGCCTTAACGTCCCTAAAGCTGAGGGTTTACTAGATATCAGCTGGGTCTGCATAAGTGGATTAATCACAAATCCAGAAGTAAGAAAATTTCACCTTTAAATCCGTTATTAATCTGGTGTCAGTCTGCTTATCATATGAATCTTTTAATTCATCTGTATCTTTACTTCATTGGTTTTCTGCTCTAACAATGTCAACTTTTATGACAAGAAGGGGAAAGCACAACATTATGAGGCCATTAGACAATTGCTCTGAGTCAGGGTAGTCTACAGATTTTGATCTGTAATGGTTAAAGACACATATAATCTTTAATAGTGTGTTCCCGTTTTACAATACAGTCACTTTTGTAAGCAGTTATTCTGACATTATTGAAGCATGTGCACTAAGATTAAGTTAACATGAACTGTATTTTGCCATGTGCTGTAACTGTGATATAACGAAATTCCATTAGCCTAATCTGAGGTCGACTGTTAAAGCCCGTTAATGACTGATTCTGATGGGGGATAGTGGTTTATAGAACAAATCCAAATTTCTAGAAATTTTAAATGCCATGTCCTACAGAACATATAGTATGCCATCCCAGAGCCTGTGCAATTTATTTAAATTATAGGACAAAAGCCAAAGAAACAAAAGACACAGGTCCAGAATTTAGAAGTGGGATTCTGAAGGCTGATGGTCCAGAGATTAGCCACTATCCATCTTTTTTTAATTAAGGACTTGAAATGTTTGAGATTAAGTGGGTTTGTTTGCCTGAGCCAAATGACCACGGACGGCACAAATAACACAATTTCATAATCAGGGCTGAAACAATTCATTAGCTTCTCACAGCGATGTTGGCAGGCAATCAGTCAAGCCTCGTATTACACTCATTAAATCTTATCTGTGTGCACATTCATTAAACCTTTCGCATTCTGTGCCGTTTTTCTTCTATGGTTCTGAAAAGAACCACATATGTATAAAAACCTAAAATCTCATTTGCATGATTAAGAGAATTGTGTTATTTGTATGCAGTCTTCAATTAGGCATGTGAACAGATACAGGCTGGCAAATTTCTTTGATGAAGGAATAAAGAAGAAAAGCCAGCAGCGTCGCAGAGCAACAGAAATGCTGACGGAAAGTGGTTCTTTGACAGCATCTCAAAGGCTGTAATATTTTAGAGATGCATAATGCACTCAAACTCATTTGTCATTCAACAAATAGCTTCTTTGTAGTATTTCTGTGGCATTTCTGTTTGTTTTGTATGTCTTTGCAGTCATTTTGAGTTATTTTGTACACCCGCAGCAGATGGGCCCCTCCCTGAGTCTGGTTCTGCCGGAGGTTTCTTCCTGTTAAAAGGGAGTTTTTCCTTCCCACTGTTGCCAAAGTGCTTGCTCATAGGGGGTCATATGATTGTTGGGTTTTTTCTCTGTATGTATTATTGTAGGGTCTACCTTACAATATAAAGCATCTTGAGGCAACTGTTGTTGTGATTTGGTGCTGTATAAATTAGAGATGGACCGTTCTGATATTATGTATCGGTATCGGACATAAAAAAGTGGTATCGTGCCATCTCTAATATAAATACAATTGAATTGAATTGAACTAATTTCCATTGACACTAGAAGAGACATACCATACTGTTAGCTCGAAGTTGTCTAAATCCTAAAATCTTTTATTACAATTGCATGATAACAGCAACCAAAACTAAATATTAACTCATAGAATCCTGAATAGAAATCTATTTTACATGTAAGAATGGTAAAGATAAAGGCGGTTGACCCACCCATGATCACCAAAAAAAACGATCAATCAACAGCCGAACCAATAAACTTAAGAGCCAGTCGTGTTGTTGCCTCATGAGATTCACAACAATTTCCAGTGTTGTGAATGTTGGGGATGCATATCTCCCTGTTATCATAGTAAAGCTGTAGGCTAGAGTACTCATCGCTTTTCTTGGCATTAATTAGCATTAACATCAATTAGTATTTGTACCCTGATAGGACAAGAGATTGTTCCATATTGAGGAGTTAAGATCTCATTTGGGCACTTAACTTTGTAACCATTCCATTCATCATATTTACTCAGTATAAAGATCTGTTCCTAGAAGGAATTGTTGTTCCTAAAACTGTGCCAATCATAAGTCGTAGATCATGTTTCAGAAAGAGACTAGCAGTGATGTGGCAACAATATCAGGGGAAGTGCATCAGCTCATAAGAATGAAAAACACGGCAACAGTTTAGGGCTGCTCGATTATGGCAAAAATGATAATCACGATTATTTTCACTGAAATTGAGATCTCGATTATTTGACGATATTTATTTAACCCTTTAAGACCTACCATAGAACCAAGTCCGCCAGAGCTTATATTATGTTTTTACATGTTGTAGTGCCATTTGTGGGAGCATTTCAAGTTGCTATACAACTGTTATAGCCCATATTTTAATAATATGTATGCATTAAGTCCATAGTAACTACATAAATTGCAAAAAATAGTTTCCCACCACAGGAAATTTATTTTGAGTCTCTTCATAGTTTTATTTTGGAGATACAGCAATTTTTATATACTGCAGGAAAAACAAAAAACAATCCTATGATGCAAATTTGGAAAGAAAACAGCATGTGCATCAAAATAAACTATTTCCAGCTGCGCAATTCGAGTTCTAAGCATCCCAGCAACTATTCAGAAAAGTCAAACATGACTTATAAAAACACCAGTATAGGTTTTTAAAGCCTACAAGTAAAAAACTACATTTTCCGCGAAAATGACTTCACTTCCGGTTTCGGGCAGGAAATGACGTACATGCGCTGACGTCTCCCATATGGAAAAGATATATATAAATCTTATAAAGTTTGTATCTGTCTTGTGTGAAACTTGTATGAAAAGCATATAAGTGTGAAAACAGATATAAGATCCCTTGAAAAATTATATCATGAAACTTGTATGTTTTGGATACTTACTAAAACAATGTATGAAAGTAATGAGAAAGTGGCCACTTTCATGAGTAATCACATATAAGTTTTTACTATTTCTTTTCCGTATGGGCTGTTTCAATGTGGGAAGTGTTACAAGCAGCTGATCGGAATATTATGTTTTTGTTGCTGCAAGCGCTTTTTATGCAATTTTTGCAAAGCTATATGTGGAAGGAAACCGTGACCGAGGACGAGCTGATGGCATAAGATGTAAGTACAACTCCTCTGGTTTCATATGCAAAAAAAAATTTATTGTGCTAGCTTACACGGTTCAGGTTCTACAGGGATTTAAAAATAGTTAGCAAAACGGAGCGTGCTGCTCTGACCGGCTTTAAAGGGTTAACAATAACAATGTATTGAATAATGACTTTAAAAAATAATATAAAATAGTGCAAATACTGATAACAGTGCAAATGTTTGCAATATAAGAAATAAATGAAAAATGTAAACATCTATGTTTAGTGAACTTTGCAGTGTTGCTCTGTGTTGCAGCTACGACACCGTAGCAAAGTTTACACACTGTGTCTACTTGATTCACGTCTGACTCCGCAAACCCATAATGTTTCCACACCACTGAAGGTTTTTTACCTCTCTTTTCAACCAACAGCAGTCACTCTCCTCTCCAAATAACTTCTGCTTAGCTTTCCGAGCTTCCCTCGGGTCCTCTTAATTGTTGTGACGCGTGTTCGAAAAGCAGAGAGGTGCGCTCGATTTGCCACACGGAGCAGCGCGAGAGTAAAGCACGAGGGAGGGGCTAATAATCGGCTCAGTCATTTTTAATGATCGTTGAAAGCCCAGATCGAAATCGTGATTAAAATTTGATTAATTGAGCAGCTCTACAACAGTTAGTGTTGCAAAGAGGATAGGTCCCAAAATTAGAGGACTACCTTAACAACCACAGCCTCTTCCTCTTAAAAGTCCAACTATGACTGAACTATGCCACTTCACTCTGTAAGCATGTCAACATCCTCTTAGACTCACTTTCTGTTATTTAGATGATGATAAGGCAAGACATATTTACTTGTATGTGAAGGTTGGCCCTACCTCGGTTGCTTCAGTCTGAGTTCATCAGACTGAAGCAACAACCTGTTGTATGTGGTGGTGTATGGGCAGAGCCTGACAAACAGGAATCTCTTCTTCACTAAATTTTCTTTTGAGGTGTGGATGGTGACCAATCTTTTAATAAGAGACGAGCACAACGTGGTTTCAAATATAAAGTGATTAATTATGAGCAAAAGAAAACAATCTACAAGCTACTAACTGTGTTTCCATGACAACACTCGCACAATTGTTGACTGACTCTTAACCCACTATTTATCAAACAGACACTTTATTATCAACACCTCTGACGATGGTGGCTTTGAAATGTGAAGTCTTGCTTAATCAGGCTTTTCTCCGAAAGGAGATCAGACCACTGTCACCGCGCTCAGGCTGACAAGTTTGATTTTACTGGAGTTGAACCATTCTATAAGAGAGCCTTTGCTCACGGATTATTCTGTTATTAACAACCTGCTCTTTCAGTGCATGCATAATTAATAAGAGCACAAATTGTAGCTTTTCTCACTACACTGTTCTGACAGCAGGTGTCACTGATTATCAGAAGGTGTCATAGGACAATAACAATCATATTGTGTAACTTCACAACGCAAGATAATGAAGTTTTAGCCATTAGGATGAGTCTAGCAGGCTGTGATCAGATAAAAAAGGGTAACTACCCACTGTAATGATCAATTTACAGTATCTTCTTCTATTTTAAAGTCAATTGACATTGCTGCACCTGCATCCACACTAGTCTTTCACCATATTTGTATTTGGCTGGTTAGAGCCTGCACTACAACTAGGTATGCATATGACCAGTCAGCTGCAGTAGATGTTTAAACACTCATCGTAAGTTGTTAACAGAAATGCTTGTCAGTCAACTAAGTATTTTTGTTTATTAATGAACAGCGCCACTTAACTGTTGTGCATTAATTGAGGTCCATGTCTCTACCACTGATGATCCCAGACAAGCCCCCAAACGTAACGAATTTCTACTTTTAAAACTAAAAGTGAACACAATTATTCTTCCCAGGAAGGCCAATCACTGATTTTGCTAGCATCTTTAACAGGTGACTTGCTTGATGCATGTACAACTTTTATCATTAGGCATGAATGTTGAATGAAAGTTCCAATATGATACATTGATACACTACACCCATTAATTTTCCATGGCTACTCCTGAGAAGGTAGTTTCATTATTTTTTGGTTGCTCCTTGGTGAATACATAAGTAAGACTAACACCCTAGCATTAGATTCTTAAGCAATGGGATTCATTAATATTGAACAGCACTTCAAACTTCGTACAGTAACATAAATCAGTGTTGTTATGTGGAGCCAATTATCACCACTTTGAACAAGTTATAATCCTCCCCCTGTCGAAATAGCTAAAAGGAGTGCAAACTGCCGCGTATACTCAGCCCCTCATTAAGGCTAATGTCCAAAAGTTTTTGATATTCAAGGGTGTAAAAAATTAGAAGTTGTGCATTTGGTTCTTCGACACAGTTTTCTATGCTGCTGGAGAGGTGCACTTACAGAACTAGGGCTGGAGTGGCGGCGCAATTTGGGGGACTCTTTGCCAGCAGTTGAGCTCTTGGCGTTGATGCAGGCATTGTTCTCAGAGTGGACCCTTTTCACCTGACTGGCGGGCTTCTCAAACGGGTCGAAGCCACTCTGCGTGCGCTGAACTCTCACTTTCTTGTCTTCAGGGATGGTGTCCAGGGGCTTGATGACAGAGTCTGTTCCCTGGCAGCTGCGTGTGGACATCTTTGTGACACATATCTGTCAAAAGAGGGGAAGGGGAAGGAGAAGAGAAGTGAAGTGAAGAAAGGAGGGTGAAGATAAATGTGAGCATTAAGAGGGAAAAAAATAGTCCATCTGCGATTACCAGTGTTCAGCCAAAAAACTGACTGTCATCCAGATCCTGCCTGTTTTTCATCTTTCTGTCAGCCTGGGTCTCTTCCCTCCCTGTAGAGCCTCACTGCTACCTCTTTGCTAGGATGAGAGCCTTTTTATCTCCATCTCTCTTTTCTCTGATCAAAACAGCTCCAGCCTCCGTCAGCTCTGCTGCACATGCACTTGCTGCCGGCTGCTGCCGCTGTCCCTAGACTGCGCATACACACAGTCCCACCTTATCTCTAACACACATCTACGCGTTCAGACAATTGTGCAGACATGCTACAGAATGTCTCCAACACGCCCACCGGGCACAGCCCCCAGTACTCACCAACTATTTACAACAAAAAGCGCCTTAGCAGCTGCTCTGCCACTGTGTGTACGAGACACAAAAGACCCAGGCAGCATGACATGTTTTGCCACGGTTCCATTCAAGATTAAATATTTAGGTCTGAACTCCCCAGCAGGAAGAAGTTCTAATTACTCTAAAACACAAGGAGGAGTCGTCTTGCAGCTCACTGGTTTGCTCTTTACACAGGCCAGGTTTCATTGGACACAATGCAGCTTTTTTCACTGCGCAAGCCCCCTTCCCTGTCACGCTAATGTGATAAGATGTTATAAAAGAATAATATAAAAGCAGCAGCTATTGATCGGGAGGTTAGGTTACCACAGATTACTGAAAACCAGATCCAGGGTGCATTATACAGCACTGTTCAGAAGTCTTGAGCTATCCCTCGAAGAGAGACATGGACTGGTGTTCCACTCATTTTCAGCCCAGTCATGGTATCTGACTATTTTCAGAATATTTAATAAGCCACTTAACACTAATCTATAAGAAAAACTGAGACTGAAATTTAGAATGCAGTACAGTATGTCTTTAAAAAATTGGGGAAAACTGGACAAATAGAGGACAAAAAGAAACATATCCTATGTAAACATATTTTCAAAGCCATGTCCTTACAAAATAGGAAGAAATGAATCTGGCCCTTACAGGCACCTACTGTTTGCTGAAACCTCATCACAAATGTCTTGGTGGAAGGGCGACTTGCTTTATTTTTCCTCATGACAATGATCCCAAGTACACTGCAGTAAAATCATGTCTGGATAGAAAAGCACATAATGGAACACTATCAGTCTTGGATTGGTCTGGGATCATTGCGAGAGACAACAGAACAAAAGGCAGCCAGCATCCAAAGAAGACCTTTTAAGGTCCTTCAAGAAGTCTGGAGAACTATTTCTGAAGACTTTTCCTTTTCTATCAGCAAAATATGGAGAAATGATGGATTGCTGAAGAATTTTGCTTAGTGCAAAGGGTGAAACAGTTATTCCTGTTTTTAAGATATCATATTGTATAAACTAAACTACAGGTCTGTAATGATGATGATGTACAATCAGAGGAAAAATTAAAGTGAAGAGCAGGAAGTTAGCTTGCTAGTTTCCACCTAAACATTTCATACCATGTTCTGACTGAGAGATTTTTGAAACTAATTCAAACGTACAGCTCTGCTACCACTTTCAACATAAATGAAGACAGAAAACTAAACAGCAGTGACGTTTGTAGGGTTACTGAAGTTGGACTACCTGGTATATAATGTTGTGCTACGTGATTGCTAGCGACACAGCTATGTTAGCATAACATTAGCATAGTGAAGCTGGAGGATGAACGCCAACTTTTTTCCACTCGATAAAAGTTAACGTGAGGGATTCTGGTGGTCAGGGACAAATGCAATCGCATAGCAGGATGCTGTACACGGGCCAAACTTCAGTCAGGAGAACAACTGAGATTATTCATCCACAATACGAGGTTAGTTATTAATACACTGCAACAACATGGAAATAGAGCAGCTGCGAGAGAATTCAACATTAATGAATCAATGTTACGGAAGTGGAGGAAGCGCAGTTTTTGGCTTTCCCCATATTTCAAAAGTGCTTCATCTCTTTTCTATGACTGTCGCCCGCCATAATTTGCAGATGGTAATGGTTGTAGCCGCTGCGATGCTTTCGACCAAAACAGGCGCATCTTGATGACATCATCAACATGCGCTATCGCGATAGAGCGGTATAGTCAAAATCTCTATCGTTGTCTAAATTTATATCGTTTCTATCGTATATCGTTTATATTGGCCACCCCTTCCTTAAAGTATCAGTTAATACAGGTGGCTCATATTCTGTGACCGTCACTAGATCACAACCCCAATACTGTAAATCTCCTGACCTGTTAGAGAGCACTTTACACCACTTAGATGAATGTCAAACCAATCCAATAAGCATTTTGTCACCCACCTGCAGGTGTCCAGATAACTTGAGTAATTACAAGTTAAATTACACCTCCCATCCATCCAACCAAGTATTTTTTAGTAATTACGAGTCAGTTACAACAGCTGCAAATCTCCCCACCGACTGCAATACTGACATCTCACTGGCAACCCAGAATAATGATGCTTTCACTGCACACTGTAGCTCTTCCAGCTAAACAGCTTTAGCTCTAAAGTGGAGAGGATGTGCAGCTTCAAAGCTTCAAGTCAGAGAGATCAAAATTCAATTATTGGAAGTATCACACTTAAAAGGTAACAAGATATTCTCAAACCTGTATGAACCAACTGACATCTGGACTTGACACACACTGAACCCTCTGCAGCTTTAAATAAAGTATTCAATCAATTGCATAAAAATTGCATACCTACATGCAACATATTTAGTCCAACATCTCCACAAAGTCAGATAACCATGATCGATGTTTTCCTACTTTCAATTGCAAGTTAAATAATATTTACAAATTCAGCAAATATTTTACAGTTTTGACTGATTCTCTGAAGACAATTCTTTCTTGTCAGTCAAATTCAAAATCACTTTTTTCATATTAGCTCAGTTTAAAAAAAGTTAAGCAATGCGGCCACTTTTATTCAGAAGATTTCAAGCATGAAATTAAACTCCAAGCAAGGGAGTGACATAAGAACACGTTTAGGCAAACAAGCGCGTAAACTGGGCCAAGTAATACACCGGAGTAAGATGTGGAGAAAATAAAAAGAAATGAGGAGGTTGGAGTCACACACGGTAATGAGAATATAGCTGAGTCCCATGCACATCCAGCATGTCCTCAGTGACAGCAGTTGTCATCTGGAGCAGCACATTAAACTAACAAAAACAAATGCAGTCATTTAGGACCTATCGCACTACAAGGCATCAATATTTGATGAGAGTGTCTGTTTAAAGATGTCTAGGTTCCAAGAAGTCAACATCAGAGAATTATAAGAAACCAGAGGCATGAAGGCATGAAGGACACGCACGTCAGTGAAACCAACTAATAAAAGAAGGATAAAACGGTTAATGCAGAACTAAGTTACAGGCTTCTGGAATACCGCACAATGGTATTGACTGTCTTGCCCTCATTTAAAAATTAACCAGTGGCAATGATATTTGTTTCAAGCACTTTCAGCAGTTGACACAACATTTAACTAGCAGCACAGGTACAAAGTAACCATCTTGCTGCTACGTCGTTAAACCACTAATTGTTCTGGAATTTGTTTTATTTTTACTTTATTATAACGACCACACTACTCACTTATGCAATGATCTGAATAACTATCCCAGTGCTGGTGATCAAACATCCGATGTAAATGATCTAAGTTAGCCCGAGGATGTGCACGGACACCTGCTCTAAGTGTGTTGGGTTTCCTAGAAAGTGCTGTTCAAACCTCATCAGAGACAGTAGCATTACTCTTTTAAAAGTGAAACAGATTCTATATGTGGTCCTGTGTGGCACAAGAGTCAGAATCCTCTTTGATTAGCCAGGTTTGTGTGCACAAACAAGGAATTTGACTCCAGTTTACTTGCTTGTTGCTTCATTGCCGGACTTTGTATTGAGAGTTTGGAACAAAACACCCCTATTAGAGTGTGTGTCGCTGGTGTCACGAAGCACATTAATGTGCTGCTACAGAGAGCTTTTTGAACACGGATCTCATCTCCTCAACATTTTCCCTACAACAAACATTCAGATTATAAGAATCCATCTCATTCACTACATTACAAACTGTCATTAGAGTAATACTCAAATAATACAGTAGCCATGTGAGAGTTACATCACTGCTGCCCAGGACCAGATTACACAGGCTGCTTTCTTGCTTAATTGCAGTCACGACCCTGAAATTCATAGATGGACTAGTGAATGAGTAAATGTTCAACACTGAATCCACATCACACATCACATTTAAAAGCTAAAGTGGAAAACTGCATGGGTAAATTAGCAGCCTAAAATGTCCTGGCGGTCACTGGTTGCACATGTCACTTACCAAACTACTGAGATTAAAATAAGCAGCGTGGATCCCAAACTCACTGAGCAATTACACACAGAGGCTCTGTGAAAAGTCTAGCACTGAGAATATCCCACTGCACATATCAACCATCAAGGTCAGGCATTAAGCAACTTTGATCTGCTAAAAATCCTAAACCTGTTTTATCCACGGCTTCATCTAATAGCGTTTTACTTTCCACAAGAACAAAGAGCTAATGTTTAAAAATAAAATGATGGAAAACTTCAAAAAAGGAAAAGAAAGGAAAACAGAACATCTTTGTGGAATTTTCAGTTAGAGCTCTGTGTGTCAGATTTAATACTTTTTACACATAATTTGGTGTGATGCTGCACCAAAAGCATGAGCACCAATGTGTAATGACTGCTTACTGCCAGATAGATTACAAAGGAATTTCTTTACATTAGCTGGCTTGACAAGAACTAAAACCAGGTAACAACAGCGCTTTTCAACTTCTGCGCACTCATGTAGAAAAGGGCACTTCACTTGTCACGTGACTCTTTTTCACATGACAGAGTCACATGAGTAGGTAGCACTCATAGCTAACTATGAGAGCTACCTACTCCAGTCATATACATT